AAAAAAAAAACCTGTTCCTTCTAGGACACAGTTGGAAATATTGCAGTATTAGCAAGCCTTTAACTAGAATGTCACATTTGAAAATATGACTAGGGCCATTTATGACCAAATTGTTTTAAGGAACTAAAGTTGAGTTTAAGAAGCCAATTAAAGGGCTGGGGATGTGGCTCAAGCAGTAACGCACTCACCTGGCATGCGCAGGGCGCTAGTTTCGATCCTCAGCACCACATAAAAATAAAATAAAGATGCTAAAAAAAAAAAAAAAAGAAGAAACCAATTAAAGCCCTTGGGTGTGACTGGCTAAACTACTCTGGTGCCTTAAATACGTGGTTTCTTTCTACAATTGTATCAGGCCCAGGAACCTCAGTGTGTTTGGGGAGCCTCCGGGTAAAATCACCTAAATCTATAGATACTGCAAAGTCATATGACAAATCTTTAGTTTTCTGGCCTCAAAGGTGTGTGCGTGTGTGCGCGCGCGCTTGCTAGGGATCAAACCCAGGATCTCAAGCATGATAGGTAAGCATTCCACCACTGAGCTACACCTCCAGCTACAGATTCTGAATATTTTCAAAGTGGAGTCATCAGAATTTGCTCATATGAATGGAGAACTGTGATAGGAAAAGAGGAGTTCAGGATAATTTCCAAGATTTTGGCTAAAGCAATTGGAAAGACACAATTTGGGAAAAGGGCAGTTCTAGAAGGAAATGAGGCTATTTACCCAATGTCTGACTTTGGATAAGGTACTTAACTACCCTGAACCTTAGTTCCTCAATGGTTATCCATTGGTTATAATTGTTGCTTCGCTGCACCGTGGTCGTGAGAATTGAGATCATGATCTCTGTATTGGTATACACATGTATTCGATGTGTCCTACCCACAGCCCTGGGATAAATACATGACCATGAAACTTCCTCTGGAAGCAACTATAAGAAGACTCTGCCTATGAATGTGCACTTTCTTGCTTCTCACCCCTGCTTGTTCCACATAGAAGTAGACAGTCCTTTCTGACCTTGTAAGTTTTCTTTCTTCAAGGTCTTGGATGGTGATGGAGATGACAATGATGCTAACAGCAGCTGCTGGTGGGGTGCTGATACGTGATCATAGTCTCAAGACCTTGAAGTTTTTATAATACGTCAAGGCCATTATCTCATCTGAATCCAGAAAGGCAGGACTTATAACAATTTTCAAAATAGGAGAATGAAGTATTTAAAAACAAAAACAAACAAAAAGCCTGTCTATAAACCCAATGAGATACACCTGGCTACCTTATGGATTCTCCTTTAATAACAAGGAGGGAAAAGTAGGTGGAGAAAAGGGACCTGAATTAGGTCCCTCCTCCATCTTTGAGTACAAATGTCACCCGACTGTATCCAAGTGTGCCCAGCTATGAAACGGACTGTCTTCACTCCTCTGCCCCCAGGAGAGGGCCTGCTCCCACCAGGTCCTGGTTTCCCTGTCTTGTCCACTAGAACAGATCTGGTGTTAATAAATGTGTCCGGGTGGCTGTTTTACTGTATCTGAGGTTTGGACATGTGGGTGTCCTACATTGTCCTGTTCAGTTCCTCCTCTCAGTTCCTCCCAGCCATTGAGGTAGCAGATAAGGGTACTGGAGCCCAGAAGAGTCAGTGTGCTTAAGGCCACACAATTAGCAAGTGCTGTTTGAATTCCAACTCTGAGGCTTGTACCCAGCAAGGGGAATTCCTGCACATGCTCCCTCCTTCCTTTTCCTTCCAAACTGGAAAAGGGGATCAGCCCAGCTGCCTGCTCCCCTCCATGTACCAGCTGCCAGAACACAGCTGTCTCTCCATTGTTTCCCCCACCTAGGCAAGCTGAGCTGGGTGGCTGGGGCTGAGCTGGGTGGGGTTACCCAGTGTTGCATCCAGCTAGGCTGTCTCCACTGCAGGAAGATCCAGCCAGAGACTGATTCTGAGCAGCAGTCCTGACTGGTGAGAGCTGAACTGATCGGTGGGTGTAGGGGGCCAGGGTATTAAGGATTGCAGGTCTGGGTGGATCAAGAACTCCCCGAAAGAAAAATTAGAATTGCCTGGGGAAGAACTGCTGGATTGAGGATTAAAGATTGGGGAATATCAGGGGGATGGAAGGGGTCCCAGGAACAGTAGAGCCCCTGGAGACAGGGAAGGGCTGGCTGTGAGTTCTAGCTCCAGTTTTTCTCTCCCCATCTGTGCTGTGGTGAAACCCCCTCTACCAGCTACCTTTCTAAGAGAAAGGGAAAAGCAACCCACAACTGGGAAGCAGGAAGGTGTAAACTGAAGAGAGGGGACACTCCTGTTCACCCATGCTTTTGGCAGGTGAGGTGGGAGCAGGAAGCACAAGGTTAGAGCCTCCGTTGCCTTCGCAGCACCGAGCTCGCCATGCCTGCCCCGCTGCTCCCACTGCTGCTGCGAGGGCTGCTGACCCGTCTGCTGCTTCCTGCTGCCCGCCTGGCCCGCCAGCACCTCCTGCCCTTGCTGCGTCGGTTGGCCCGTCGCCTGAGCTCCCAGGATGTTCGAGAGGCTCTTCTAGGCTGTTTGTTGTTCATCCTCAGCCAGCGACACCCGCCAGATGCTGGGGAGACCTCCAGAGTGGACCGCCCGGAGAGAAGGGAGAGGTTAGGCCCCCAGAAGTGAGGCCACACGTCCTGGCAGCAGCCATAGCCTGGAGTAGGAGTAGTTCTGGCAACAGCACTAAAGCAGCCTGCACTGGGCAGTCCAGTGGGGATCTGACCTGAAGGCCTCCCCCTCCCAGCAGACATGTCTCACAGACAATTGATCACTGCCCCTTCCTCCTCCTGCAATTCTTCTCAAAGACCTCTGCTAACAATCTCTGACCTCAGAGGAGAGGAGACCTCACCTCCTGGTAAATGGGGACAATTTATCTAAGAGGTGATACTTGAATCCAGACTGTTGGTCTTCCAGACTTGGGACCTACCTACCTTAAAATATGATTTTGGTTGCCTTTGGAGGCAGCACTGTTCCTAAAGCCCATCACAAAGCAAGTGCTTAATAAATATTTGTTGAATTCTTGGGATGCTTCTTTGAAAGTTTTGTCACCTACTCCTCAGTGGGTGGCAGGTGGGGAGGGGGCTGGAGGAGAGGATCACTGGGGGCTTCCTTTGGCTGTTTGTTTCCTTGTCCACCTCAGTCTTCAAAACCTTGAAGTTGTTTATAGTGTCTAACTTTGCCCAGAAGGTCACACTTCCCCTAGTTATGGTCTGGGTCTATTTTAGAGGAAGGTTGGCTGCTAGCTCACAGAGGGAGGAAAAACCGTTTGAGTCAGTTTGGAGTCATCTCAGCTAAAGATGGTGAGAAGCGGGAGACTTGTTTGCTAAGCGACCCTGCGGGTAGCCACTGGAAGGCGGGGCAGTGTAAAAATGTAGGACTTCAAGGACCTATAAAAAAATGGGGAGGGGGAAGCCTGAAAAAAAATCAACTCCTTATTCTCCCTTCCCCCAAAGGAGGCAACTGGGGATGTGTGTGTAAGAGTTGTCAGGCACATTTGCATCCCAGCCTCCGGATGATTTGTTTATGGTTTCCATGCAATAATCCCATTTCCCTGAGTCTTGGGCTCTGGTTGAGAGGGGGGACAGTGATGAATGCAGGTTCCTCTCGGGATCCCCATTCAATCCCTTGTCCAGAGAAGCGACACCAAGGCTGTGCACCCTCACTCCAGTAGGACTCTCCCCGCCCCAGTCGCTTCCGAGGAGGTCATCCACTTGTTCTCGCCACTCGAGAGGACGACCTGGGGGAGGGGCGGAGTAAAGGGGGTCTGAGTCCCGGGTTCCCTAACCCTGTCCCTTCGGAACGCTGGCCGCTCTGCCTGGGCCCACGAGCCCCTCCCACTGAGCCTCCCTCACCGCCGGCGTCCCGAAACGCTCTGCGCCCTCGAGCGGCGAACGGCGCCAGGCGGGACTGAGAGCCTGCCGCGGATCGCTGGGCGGGCGCCGCAATCGCCAGTTGCAAACCTCCCGCCCGGCGGCAAAGACCCGGTCCACCCCGGCGCGGGCAGCGCTCTGGGGTCATGGCCATAGCCTCAGGCCGGAGGTAAGGAGGCCCGGAGGGATCCCGGATCCGCCGGCCTGGGAATTTCCGTCCTCTGTGCCAAGTCCGGATGCCCCCGCCAAAGTCTCAGCAGGTGCGCAGGGAACGGCGGCGGGGGCGGCGGGGGAGCACGAGGCGCGCGCCGGGCAGGGGCGGGCTCTGCGCCGTTCTCACGCTGCTTCTGCAGTCTGATCTTCTATGGATTCTAATCTGCGGTTTCTGGAAGGGAGGGTAGTTTTCTGGGAGTTTGAAGGTGACTCCCCCTCTTCCTTGATCTCAGCAATTTACAATTGCCCGAGGTCAGAGATCTGCCTAGAGCAGAAGTCGGGGGCCTGAGCAGACCCAGTGAACAAAGACTTAATTCTTCTTGAACCCAGACCTAAAACCCACTCTTTGTACACACTTGTCTTTATTTAAAAATTCGACGTTGTATTAATCATTGATTCTTTTTATTAAATTTGGGTTTTTAAAAAATTTTTTAGTTGTAGTTGGACACAATACCTTTATTTTAGTTATTTTTGTGTGGTGCTGAGGATGGAACCCAGGGCCTCCACATGCTAGGCGAGCGCTCTACCGCTGAGCCACAACCCCAGCTCTAAATTTGGTTTTTGATCATTGCACTAGGGCTGAAGTGTAGCTCAGTGGTGTCCCTAGTATGTTCAGGGTCATGTTCATGAACCCCAGCACATAGTTGATCTTGTCTTTTCTTTGCCTTTCTTTTCTTTCTCTTGCTTCCTCTCCTTTCTTCTTTCTTTCCTAGTACTGGGAATTGAACCAGGAGCGCTCTATCACTGAGCTACATCCCCAGCCCTTTTTATTTTTTTAATTTTGAGACAAGGCTTCTCTAAGTTGCCTGGACTGTCCTGGAACTTGCCTTCCTCCTGCCTCAGTCTCCCTAGTAGCTGGGATTACAGGCCTGCATCATTGCACCCAGCTGATACCCAACACTTTCAAACAAACCAAAATTCCACTTTGCATTACAATTTATCATGATGATGATGATGATGATGATGATGATTTTGGCATCCCTTAAATTTGGTGTCTTAGGTAGCATCTCACTGTTCTCACTCTAGAACCAGTCCTGCCACAAAGGCCATGAAGACAATCACAAACACAACTGAGAACATGACACATGTTCTAGTGATAACCCCCCCGGGCTCAGCAAACACATTTCCAGCAAACACAGATGGCTTGTTGATGACAGCTGAGAGGACACAGGCCTGGAGAGAGAGGGCTGTGTGCTGGTGGTGAGGCATGCTTACAAGTAACCCAGGGGAGGAAGGAGTCTGGAGTATGCCACAGTCCCCAGTGGAATAGGGAATAAGGTGGGATATGAGGGTCTGAAGGACCAAAGTTCCCCTCCATTCCCTGTGACTGAGATCTGATTCCATGAAGGGAGAGAACCACAAGACTGGGCAGAGGACTGACTAATTTAGCTAGAAAATCTCCAGGCACAGACCTGTGTTAGTGGGCCTCCGAAGGCTGTCCAGCAGAGGGCGTGGACACCCAGCCACCTTCTCTGTCTGGGAAGGGTACCCTGATGGGTATGGGTCTGGCCCTGGCCCAGGCAGGGTGTGTGCCAGATAGACTTCTCTCCAACAATAATAGGCCTGGCTGTTGCCATCCCTTGAGCAGGCCAGGCCCCATGGGGATGGGGAGAGGAACCAACCTTCCCTAGTCTGGTTTCCTGGGGACCCTCACCACTTCCTCCTGTTTCCTTATACTTCCAGCCCCCTTTGCACACAACTGCAGCCACTAACCCCCGAGCCTGGCTGTGCCTGGCGGATACTGACCACCAGTCCTGCCACCCCCACAGGGCCAGAGCCAGAAAGGAAGGTGGGAGTGAGGCAGGGGGCCAAGGAGAAGGGGAGGCAATAGCAAGGTGAGGAAGAGAGAGAGACCGGACAAACATGAGGGTAGGAACCCAAGGTTGTGGACAGACATGAGCCACTCAAAAGCCAAGGGACAGTGCCTAGAAAAATACCACCCACCCCATCTTCCTGCCCTCTGTTTGCTTCCTGCTGTGGGGAAGATGTGTATCATCTCCACCAGAGCTGTAAGGCTGGGGACACCTGTACCCACTGCCCTATATAAAACCCCTCCCTCCTCAGGGCCCAGGCTTTCTTGGGGAGAGGTATGATTTTGCAGTGTCCCTATGATTTTAGTACCACTAATTGTTTGATGTTATTTTATTGGTACCAGGGATTGAACCCAGGGGCGCTCAACCACTGAGCCCTTTTTTGTATTTCATTTAGAGACAGGGTCTCAATAAGTTGATTATAACCTTGCTAAGCTGATTAGAACCTCCATAAGCTGCCAAACCTGGCTTCAAACTCACTATTCTCCTGCCTCAACCTCCTGAGCCGCTGGGCACCCAGGCGCTAATTGTTAATTAGTGTGTATGACTTCTCCAGAGGACAGGCCTCTGGGGTGATTGAGGGTGGGGTAAGCAGCCTAGGTTGAATTTTCTCTCTCCAGGACACTTCCAACCTTTGGATAGTACTAAAGCACTGAGCACTGAGGTAGGGGCAGAGAATGACCCCCTGATTTACTTTCCAACAAGAACAAAAAGGAATCCCTGCTCCTCCCTTGGAGGTACATGGTGGACCCCTCCTCAACACGGACCCCATCAGCCAGGGAAGGATATGGAGCTCAGCAAGGATTCCACCTCTGACCTATATCGTCTCTGGGACAATGGGATTTGTGCAGGATGTTGGGCTCTTCCTGGCTTTCTCTTCCATTCCCAGCAGTGCCTCAGTTTTCCAAAGTGCTCGATTTAGAAACGGTAGATCATGAGGGGGGCGAGGACTCTGCCTCTCTCCCCTACACAGAGACAAGAGACAGAGACAGAGACACTCATCCCTTCAAGTCAGAGCTGTGGGTGGCATGATGTTTATGGACCTATGGCCATGTGTATGTGTCATGGGTAGAAAAACCCACCACCCAGGTCACAAATGATTGAGTCCTAAGAATCCCACAAGGGAGTGGGTGAAAGGGACAGAAGTCTTATTGAAACGAAAGGAGAAGGGATCTAAACTGGAAAAGGTGGGACACTGGAAAGAAAAGAGGCTCTGTGTAGTGTAGAGGCGTGGGCGGGGTTTGGGGCGGGATAACGGAACACCTCAGCTGAGCCTGGCGGATCCTGGTGGTGGGGGCGTCCGGGCCTGTGAAAAGTCCCTGGGATGGAACGAATGGGACTTTGCACAGCCTCGGCGCGGAAGGGACTAGGGGCTCCTAGTGTGGAGCTGTGCCCTCCAGGCCCACACGCCTAATAACGGGCTGGGTTAGTGTGGCCCTAAGAAATAATGCGACCAGATGGCCCTGGGACGCAGGGTGTCCTGGTGCAGGTCCCGGCGCGCGCAGATCTGCTAAGCGGGAGACCCTGGGGGCGGGGGGCGGGGGGCGGGGCGAGGCCGGCGGGGTAGCGGGAGGTGGTGGCAGGCGCGGGCCGGGGGCGGGCTCAGCGGAGGGCGGGTTTGAAAGCTCTCCTGCGGGCGCGGGAAGCTGCAGAGAAAGCGCCCAGGTCTCCGCGCGGAGGAGTTCTTCTCCGGCAGGTGCGCCGAGGGCCTTGGGTGGGCGCGTGCCGGGGACGGCCGGGCGTGGGGTGGCGCGTCCAGCTTGCCACGAGGGAGGGAGGCCAGGCCAAACAGCTCCGCGGCCTGGCGACCGTCGCCTGTCCTCCGCTTCCCTGGCCTGACTCGTGCAGAGCGCGCAGCACGTGGCACACCCAGGCTCTGGGCGCTGGGGATTTCTGTGGGGACCACCACCGGAGTGGGGCATGGGTGGCCTGGCTCCCGGGCCTAAAAGCTGCTGTTGCCTCGCGGACCTCCATAAGACGCAGGCGAGGGGACAGTTAATCCTGGTCGATTGTCTTCAAGACATGGGAGGGGCCAGGACACCGTGTTTGCAGTGAGGGGAATGGGGATGGGGGCGACGCAGATGGAGGTAGGGGAGCTGTCCCTTTAAGTATCCCTTTTATTGGCCAAATTC